CTAGATGGTGGAATGTGCACTGATTGCTTGCAGTTTTGATGAGGTTAGTTTTGTTTTCTGTCAAAGGGAAGCCAATTCGGTGGCGCATGAGATAGCTAGGTATCCTTGTACTCCTGCAAATTATGTTTCCAGGGTTATGAATCCCCTAGCTTTCTTTTGCCCTACTTATTGAACAATGTATCATTGTTTACAGATCAATAAAGCTAGCCGGATGGATGGCTTTCCCTCAACAACAACAAGAAGAAGAAACTCTTTAGGGCATCTCCAACACTGACCCGCAAATTCGCTCTCGCATCTTGCGCATACAGGGGGAGGGGGGCAGTCCATGGATACGGATGCGGGAGCCGGCTATCCAAAGCTATCCGCATACATTCGGCCCCTAATTTTTTTTAAGTTTGCATGTTTAAATAGCCGCGTATACATTGACTAGAAATGTTCAAATGCAGTAGTAGTTCTAATTTTTAAAAAAAATCAAATAACCGCCCACAGATGCTCAATGAGATCTTCCCTCAGTTGCTCGATGTCGAATTTGTTGATGCATTTGAACAAACTCTTCAAATGTGGCCAGATTCTGATGTGGAAGTTAGATAGAATCACCCATGTTCTCAAATTCTAGAGTCGTGGCAGCATCCTCACCCTCATCCTCGACTATAATGGTGTGCATGATCACACAACATGTCATCACATCCCACATGGTCTCTGATTTCCATTGTTTAGCAGGTCCATGAACAACTTCAAAACTTGCCTGCAGAACTCCAAATGTCCTCTCGACATCCTTTCTAGTTGCTTCTTATCTTTGAGCAAAGTGAGACTTTCCAAATGTCGTGCGCCCTGTTGAAGTTGAGCACTCGATGACCCTTGATGGATACCTTGAAATTGAGAACATGCTCCTCCCACGCTCCTTATCTTCAAGGACTGCCTGCGTCATAGTCGTCTCATCCGTGTAGTCCTCGTCTGACGAGCCATTGCTTCAAAGAAGAAGGGACAAAAAAAATAGGTCGAGCGATCACCGAAAAATTGACGGGCATGGTGAGTATTGTAGGAGCGGATGGTACATGGCGGGGCGGTCAGAGGAGAGGTGTGGAACGGTGGCGGAGAAGCGGGGTGGAACCCGGGTGTACCGCTGGAGGTGACGGATACGTTGAGTTCCGACAGGGGTGTGGCGTGGCGATCGGGGTGGTGAAGCAGTGGCGAAGGCAAGAGAGAAAAACACAAGGAGAGAAAAATGGGAAGGATTGAGGCGTCGGGGGTGTCGGAGTCCTAAGTGGCAGCTGTCCGGGCTCCCACAAAGCAAAGGTACGTCTGGACCGCTCGACGAACCGATACAAGCCCGCATTGGATGGTAAAACATGCTGGACCACGTGGTCTCGACGGTTACAGACGGTTTAAGGGTCTGCTTTGGAGATGCCCTTAGACCACCAGCTTAAGCAAGTGTCATGAGTTGCCTATCTCTGTTCACCTGAGAAACCTAAGTTAATCTAGTTGCCAATCTTCATTTTGTTCAATATTATTATACTTATTACATATACATGACACTTTTGCAGCAGTACCATTGCATACTGTTTTCGATGTCACAAAAAAGGCTACGTAGGCGAGGGAAAGGTAGGAGCAGTACCATTGCATACTGTTTTCGATGTCACAAAAAAGGCTACGTAGGCGAGGGAAAGGTAGGTCGCTGTCTCTCATTACTTGCGCAACTCTGTTTCTTAATAGTTAAGTCGCCCACCCGCGGGAAACAAGAAAGAACACTTCAGGCACTGCATTTTGATGTTCAATACTCAATACTGCATGATAATAGCAATGTTTTATAGATACTTGCACAAAACAAACTTATTTGCAGTGAAAATGGTGAAAGAATGTCCTAGAAAACGTTAAAAGTCACGCTCTGTTGGAGAGCATTCATTCAAGCAAAGCATGATACTCCATTGCAAGAAAAATATTAAACATAGTATTTGTTATTACTTAGAACCATAATAACATAATCCAAACATATTTTGTAATACATTAGAACATGACTTTACAAATAGCATCATCCATCCATCCAGTCTCCAGGACCAAAAAACAACACACCCTGCTCAAACAATGTCAAGGAGCTGACCCCTGTAGGTGCTGGGGCCTCCACCTAGCCGAGATCTCAGCATCAGCATTAGAACAGGCCATTCACCAACAATCTTTGTCGCCAGCGGGACAAGAGCTCCACAGCAAAGAATGAGAATGGCCAACCACAAGTGATGTGGCGCCAACAATATGAACATCCCAATAGTGAAAGCTACAAGTGTGAACGCATACGAGACCCACATTAGCAGCTTTGTGACAGCCAAATAATGCACCAAGAATCTGTAGTCGCCCCAACGATAAAGAACACAGAGAAAAGCTACTAAAAAAGAAGAGAACATCGCCAGTGCATCAGATATCAAGAATATGATCTGGCTCCTGGAGTAAACCGGCTGACCTGCGCTTCCCGGGTCTGAGCTATAGCCACCGGGCACCGTGAACAAGGCTGCAAACGTGATAGTGGCGATAAGAGTCGCAATGATCGCTGTATTACTTGTGTAGGTCTTGCTCAATGACTTTGAATCCAATCTAGATGCATTGACTGCGTTTATCCTCGCTTCCTTTTGCAAAAAATGGATGGAGAAGCTATCGCGAGGATCAGCCTTTGAAAGAAGCATGCAGATCTCATTCTGCAAGACACCAAAAATGTTAAGACTTAACATCCTGCAATAAAGAGTAACTGAAAGGGACCACAATGCATAAAACAAGCATTCACAGTTATTCAACCACCGGCCAATAGCAGCTGACCTACGTTGTTAGGCATATATTTATTACTGAATTTTGTTCGCCCTCTCTGAACTGTGGTCTGTTCAAGTATCTTATGGCTTTGAAATTCTCTTCTGAATCTATGAGTTTCAGTGTCTTCTCTGGGTTTTAGGGAGTCTGTTCCTGCTCTGTTCAACATTCAGGCCGAACTAGTTTGCGGTGTTGTTGCAAATGCAAGGCTGGTGGCATCCTGCACGGATACACAGAGGATACTGCCGGATACAGCTCGATAGGTATCCTTTGATTTTTCAAATTTTTAGAAAGTAAACTAGTCCTGATACGTGTGGGATACTGCTATGATACATTTTGGATACGGGAAACCCTCCTTTCAACGTTAAAATCCCTCTTGAAGCTGCACGACCCCATAACCTCTCGCCTTCCCTTGTCGAGTCGTCTCCCTCCCGGCTGCACGCCTTCTCCCAATCAAGTCTGTTCTGTAACTTCTGTTCTGAACTCAGATTAGATTGATTTGTTCTGTAACCTGGCATGCAGTTAGTGATCACATCCGTTCTGCACGAGTGCACCTGTGCCAATAGGTACTTTAGGCTTAGGATTTAAGATTAGATCGGTTTGTTATTTTGTTTCTGCTCTCTGTTCTGACCAGTTCCCTTAATCTCTTTGTACCATTCAGATCGGCCATGTCTAGTAGTTCTCCTTCCGTTGGAAAGTGAAGCAAGCAGTGGAGGAGGCACCATGAATGCAGTACAGGTATTGGCTGCTGCTCATGTCATTCCGGCAGATGATAATGAGAAGATGCCTTTGTGGAGGTATGTCCAGAAGTTGGAAAACACTGGTAAAGGGAAAGGAGGCAACAAGAGATCCATGAAAGGGGGAAGGGGGGATCTTATTGAGGCATGCTTTGACATGGAAGCTCGCAGCCACCTTGATGCATTGATCACAAGTAAGTTTTACACAGCAGGACTAACTAGCCAATTAGGATCCATCACACTTATCCATATCATACAATATCTTAATCTAGTCAACAATACCGTCAACCACACAACTATGGGTAAAATAAACCTATGTTCCAACAAAAATTTAAATGATCTGGATAAGAGAAATTACCCATTCGAGTGTTTTCGCCTCGCTGTACGCATACTTCAGTTCCCATGCGGCAGAGTGACCCTCCTCATCAAGTATAGAAATGTCAATATCCTTGTGGGATAATATACTTCCAACCAATTTAGGCCTGCATTTGAGAACAGCGTGATGAAGCGCTGTCTTCCCCTCCTTGTCACGCAGGTTGATGAGAGCGCGCAGCTGCGGGGCACATATAATAAAGTTTAAGAACTCTTCGTGCTCTGAAACAATAGCTTCGTGAAGACAGGTCACTCCAGTGGTACTGTTCTCATATGGAGCGTCAGGGCAATGTAGGAGCAGCTCTTTAGCTACATCAATTGCACCATGCGAAGCCGCTGATACAAGGAGAGGTTGGCCTGCATTGCTAATTTCATACCCAAGCAAGAAATCCGTCTTCAGAAATACTCGAAGAACCTCAGTTCTACAAGTGATCACTGACAATCTCACTGGAGATATCCCAACACTGTCCTCAACTTTTGCCATCGATGGGCGATGCTCCATGATTGTTCACCTCAGACCTACAGAAGTTAATTACAAGGAACTACCACACTTCGGCACGTCGTAACAAAACAGTACCATTAGTCATTTTTTTTGCCATGCAGTACCAACTCTAAGCCTAAGTGTTTGCAAAACGGTCTAAGCCACGTATAAACGCGTATTGACGGTGTATCTGACCGCTGGGACCCGTGTGTCAAGGGCTGACGTGGCATGCTCTTTTACAAAAACAACCCTCACTTCTTATTTAATCACGCATAAAGCCTCTATTTGTCAAAAAAAAAATGTCCTGCCAGAAGAAACCTTTTTTCAAAAACAAACCAAACGGGCACGTTGAGCCAGGATTCGGACCCGCACCGTGCGGTTCAACGGGAAAGCTCGCTGCCACTGCGCTGCTGCTGCTTTCATGTCAAAAGCCACGCATGACTTTATATATACTTTGCACCATTCGTTTTTTTTACAAAATACAAAATCGCGTGACCGTCCGCCGGAAATCGATCCCGCCAAGTCGCTCGCCGTGCGCGCTTGCTGCCTCTGCCCCACGCCATCCTATGTGTCAACTAGTACGCGTATACGTCTTTAAACTCCGAGCCGTTCTGGTTTTTATATGATATTAAAAAATATTATATGTTCATCGTGTCGTACGATTAAAGAAATGTTCACCGCATCGTTTAATATGTATATATATATTGCATATTCTAAAAAGTTTAAATGTACGATATCATATTATAAAAAGTTTATCATATATATTGAACATTTTATAATATATGATGTCTATATAAGTGTGTATGATTTTTATCAATATACATTACGCACACTATGTTCAGTGTGAAGAATAAACCTGCTGGTCTCTACATTGTTTCTGGGTTGACGTTCGAAATTTTAAAATTACTCTGAAAGGTAAATAAAGTGTTTGTGCATTTAAAAAAATGTTCAGAACATTTTTGGGAAAAGTTGAACGCGTATTTAAAAATTGAAATGTATATTATAAAATGTTCATCATGCATTATAAAATTTATTACGATTACACAATAATTTTTAGTACATGTTACCATTTTTTGAGTAACTGTGCATTTAAAAAATACAGAAATGTATGCAGTAACTGTGACAAATATATCGCATCCTGATGATGCAGCATCTTTTTTCGTTTTGTTTTATTTGTTCAAACGTATAACAATATATGCGTGGTATCGTACTTTGAACAAGTCGCCGAGGCTGGCGTAGTGGTCGGTCGCGCGCGCGTGACGCGGCAGGTTGCCGGTTCGAATCCTGCCCGCGCGCTATCCATTTTAGATTTTCATAAAGGGCATGTACGTGATTAAGTATAGCGCGAGGGGCTTTCTGAAAAAGAACATATGCCATGTGTCGTCCGACAGGTGGGGCCACTCAGTCAGATGCGTGCTTATACGGCTGTCAGACCTTTTTGCAACACTTAGGCTTAGAGTTGGTACTGCATGGCAAAAAAAAATGACTAATGGTACTGATTCGTTACGACGTGTCGAAGTGTGGTAGTTCGTTGTAATTAACTCGACCTACAGGTCCGTAGGTACTAGCTAGATGGCTTCTTCTCTCTTTTTGTATCTCAATACAATAGTCTCTTGGATAGGTGACAACTACCAGAATATCCGCTTACGTCGACGGCCTCATCTATGTCGACGGCCCCCGTCGGCATAGATAGACCTATCCCGGCCGTAGGCGTAGAAACGCCGTCGGCATACGTCTATACATGCCGACGGCTGGCGTAGTGGTAGGGTCGGTCGAGGCTGGCGTAGTGGTCGGTCGCGCGCGCGTGACGCGGCAGGTTGCCGGTTCGAATCCTGCCCGCGCGCTATCCTTTTTAGATTTTCATAAAGGGCATGTACGTGATTAAGTATAGCGCGAGGGGCTTTCTGAAAAAGAACATATGCCATGTGTCGTCCGACAGGTGGGGCCACTCAGTCAGATGCGTGCTTATACGGCTGTCAGACCTTTTTGCAACACTTAGGCTTAGAGTTGGTACTGCATGGCAAAAAAAAAGACTAATGGTACTGATTCGTTACGACGTGTCGAAGTGTGGTAGTTCCTTGTAATTAACTCGACCTACAGGTCCGTAGGTAGTAGCTAGATGGCTTCTTCTCTCTTTTTGTATCTCAATACAATGGTCTCTTGGATAGGTGACCACTACCAGAATATCCGCTTACGTCGACGGCCTCATCTATGTCGACGGCCCCCGTCGGCATAGATAGACCTATCCCGACGGCCTAAGGAAGGCCGTAGGCGTAGAAACGCCGTCGGCATACGTCTATATATGCCGACGGGGCCGTCTGCATAGATGAGGCCGTCGGGACCGCGCGAGATACGCCTGCGGGGGCCGTCGGCATATCCCGAGCCCACCTACCCGGTCAGCGACGACCATTTGATGGCGTCCAAACTACGCCGTCGGCTGGTAATGACGGTCGTCGGCATATCTGTGCCGACGGCGGCTATGCCGTCGGCATAGATCTGCTGACATCAACGATCCGCTTCGTCGACACGTCATCGATCCGAGGGAGTGGGGGCCCGTTGTGTGGCAGAGATATGCCTACGGCATTGCCGTCGACATAGACTTGGCCCATGCCCTCTGCCACGTCATCGATCTGCGCGTGATGCCACGTCATCGATTCGTGGGATTGTACCTCCGTGTGCGCACCTATGCCGACGGCCTTGCCGTCGGCATACATTTATTTTTCTTTATTTTTACTTTATATTATTTTTTATTTTTCCACAAGATAAATGTGCCTTATCTAAACAAAAAACATACCCCGATGGTATATCGTTTGCCCCCTCACGGACGTCGCTGTCGCCGTGTCACGGAGGGGGGAAACGGTCGACACGGAGGGAATCTGGTT